GGCCCTCTGTGATAGGCTCCTGTCCTGTTCCCTGTCTTCTCCCTCTTTTGATGTCCATACCGTTTGCCTTTCTGAGTGAGGATTGAGCATCTTACCCAGGGTTCTCCTTCTTGATCAGCTTCTTTAGGTGTACAGATTTTAGTATGTTTATCCTATATTATATGTCTAATATCCACTTATAAGTGAGTATATACCATATGTGTCTTTCTGCTTCTGGGATACCTCACTCAGGATGATCTTTTCTAGTTCGAGGTGAAAGATTTTGAGACAGACTCTGCAAGAGAATGGGTGAATGTACTTATACATGCTTAGAGGTATATACTCCTTCCCACAAAGGAAAAAAAAAATCCCAGCTCCTTTTCTTTCTTCTTTATTTATAGGAAGTCTAGTGAAACCCAGGGAAAAATATAATGCTAGGGTACAAGGAATATATTCAGGATCATACTATACTTGACAGTTCTTAAATAGTTGCAGAAATACATTAATTAAAGCATAATCTTAATGTTTTTGAGTAGGTTTAAGTGAGTCTGAAAGTACTGCTTATATAAATGTTTTATGAGCTGTTTAAGGTATCCAAAGACTCCTAAGTGTTAAATCCGCCTGAACAGTTTAAAATGTTGTAGTAAGATAGTCAATTTGAGAATTAATTTTTAAATGCTCAAGAAGATTTGGCTTCATAAGTTTTTTTTCCTGTACGAGTTTCACAAAGTAAACATTAACAAATCACATACAGTTTTGAGTACTCTCATGTCCCAGAATCCTCCAGTTGATTCAGGAATCAGTCAAGGCTACAAATGCAAATGCTGAACACGTCTGTCAGGACAGAGCCCTAAGAGCTCCCTCTGGAATCCACAGAAAGCAGTTTAGAAGCACAAAGAAGAACACAGTTTGAGTCTTTGACTCCCATCAGACATGGAAATGTTTGGTTTTATTTTATTTTTACTTATATATTTAGTTTCGTGTAAGGGATTTAACCTGGGACTTCATAAACGCTAGATAAACACCTACTTCTGAGCCATATCTCAAGCCAAATTTGCTTCATTTTTTTAAAAAGACAAATAAATGACAACCTAGTAGAATCACATTTCCATGTTAATACTGATGTGGATGTGACTAAGTACCTCACTCGTTTTCTAACCACATGATTTAAGTTGCATTGAAGGTAGGCTCTGAGCATAAAAAAGAATCAAAGACGGGGAGGGAATACTGGCTAAAGGAAAAGAGACAAAGTCAGTACTGGAAGGCTACAGTGTGACTTTCCTTGAGGGTACCATGGAGGGAAAGCAAGCTTCTCAAAGATGGAAAAGGCTCAGTCTCTTTTAACCTGATGCATGAAAGTAAACACAAAGGTTCAAGAAAATCACATGATTCTGACCAGTTAATCCCAATGTTAATAAATACAACATTCAGTACATATTTGGTAGAAAATACAAAGCAAAACAGAAAACACTCATCTGCCTTGTTAGATTTATGAGTGCTACCTTCTTGCCATTTGGTCTGGATAAGTGAAAAAAGAAACTTAGAAAAGAACTTCTCTATTATAACCAAACCAAACCAAGCAATCAACCCAAACCCCAAAACAAAAAAACAATAAAAAAACAAAAACAAAACAATCAACCAAGCCCCCCAAAAGAAGAAGAACAACAACAAGAAGAAAAAAAGAACAAGAATAACAAGAACAACATCAATAAGCACAACAACAACAACAAGAAAAAGAAAAGAAAAAAAACAGAAACAGGTGGAAAACTAGAAATGCCCTGGGATGCAAATCATCGTTTTGAGAAATAAAGCCTTAATTCATTCATCCCAAGTGCTGGTATCACACTGACAAAAATTAATTATTTAGCATTCTAAGTCATGAGGATAACCATGGAATTGTGAACCCACAGGAAGCTGGGCTTCTGTATGGCACTTACTACCCATTATGGACACACCCATAACCACTGCACTACACTTTGGAGGCACTCAATTGAGCTGGGAAGACAGTTCTGACCAGAAAGCTTTTCATAATCATGGATTTTTCCTCATCTCTTCATCCCAGTCAAAATCTAATGCTTCATCATCGAGTTCTGATAGAGTGAAGAGGGACGGTGTGGAAAGATTCCCTCTCTTGGTGGGCTGCTGCAGCTGAAAAGACTGCCTTTGCTGGCCAAGCACCGGAGCTGTGCTTGCAGGAAGGCTGCAGCTTCTCTCCCTGTGGTCCTTCCTTTCAGGACAGAGGGGTTCTGATTTGGATTCCGGAGGAGGAGTGAAGGAGAAGTTTGCCAGTCTGGCTAATGTTCCAGCATGAACCCTGCTGCTTTTATTACTGCAGGAAACCCCTTCCTTTCTGGCTTTCTCATGTGCTGGATGAGAGTGCCCAGCTTGGTTCCCAAGCTCCAGTTCGGGCTGAACAACCCTTCTTTCAGGGCCCTGTTCCCTCTCCTCTCTTGGTCTATTACTCTCTGGTGGCTGCCTTGAGAGCTCCTTTGTCTCTCCCTGCAGCTGGCCAGAGCATCTGTCTCCTGAGGGAGATGTCAACTTTCCTGGGCCTTCCACAGGCACAGCTGCTTCTCTTCTTGTTCTTTGCTGGGGAATTTTCAAACTGTTGGTTGCTATTTTAGTAGAACTGAGAAGCACAGGGCTGCGGCATTCAGGGGAGTGGGTCAGTTTTGTTTTCTTTTTAAAAGTGAATTTGCCTAGTTTTGCAACTGGGGTTTGTGTAGTCTTGACACTTTCAAGTTCAGGCTCTCCCACCTGAGCAGATTTCTGTCTCTTTCTTTTGGGTGTTTCTGTTGTTTTCTCTGGCTCAGGAGAAGGAATGGATGGGGGAAAGGGAACTGTAGGTAGCAGTGATCGCACCCTGGTTGTACTTCTGTACAAGTTTTGAGACCCTTCCTTCTGCAGCTTGGGGAGCCTGTGGGGCACGTGAGTCAGTCCAGAGTCTGGTTCACCAGCCTGTCCTGCTATATCAGACACAACTGCTGCCAGTCTTGCCTTTGTATTCGTGACACTGTTCGACTGTAAGGGAGCATCCATGGCTCCCGATGGTAGAAGATGCCCAGCTTCTAATAATTTGCTCCTTTGCCCTGGCTCATGTTTCTCCTTGCCCTGAAATTTACTGTTGGAGATTTTCAAAGCCACATTTTCCTCAGTTGTTTTCAGATCAGGAGACACAATGGTGCTTTCTGGTTCAATCTCAGGAGTCGCCATGAGGTTAAACCAGTCTAAATCATCACCCCTGCCACCTTTAAGCTCAGACTGGTTCCTACTTGTTGGTCCACTAAGTGCTGGACCAGGTGGAGAGTCTCCATCAGGCCTCTCCGTGGGACTCACAGCTGGGGAGGAGTTGTACCAGTTACAGCTCTGTTCCTGCTGTGCTGAAGTTGCCAGCCTTGGCTTGTGCCTTGGATCATTTCTTGAGGAATCTGGAACTGCCTCTACGTCTAGTGACTGTGGCTGGCGTTGGTGCACACTGTCATTCTGTAACCTGGGCAGAGACAGATAAGGAAAACGTATTGAAAGGAAGAAAATCTACACCTACCTCTCATTTCTTTAGTCTCTAAGATGCCACCTGGAAGGTTTAAGAACAATACATTTCAAGTAAATATAAGTACAGTATTCTAGAACAGAGGAAATGACTCTGAATTTAGTGTTCTAGCAAGCATTTTCTTTGAACCTGAAACTGCAGTGAAACAAAGAAAATGAAACCAGAGTCTGAACTATGTTTTCAGCCCTTTACCCCACTTGACATTTTGAGGATCAGTGTAAAGTGCTGACTCATAAAACCAGGACATATGTCTGAGTCCTTGCAAAGAAGCTGGTACTGCTAAGTAACTGTTCGGTGGTCTCACTAGGCAGTTTGTGGATCAGAATTAAAGAGAAAGGCCAAGATGAAGATCGACAGCTCTGCCAAAGCAGGTACTGAGTTTCAGTGAGAACTGTCTTCCACAGGTGGGAAGAGTCTGCGGCTCCTCCATGCTATAGCTGCCACTGCCTGTCTGCCTTCATAAGTACAATAGATCCTCTGGGCGCTGTCCACCCTTCCTGCAAAGCCCATCAGGTTTCCTCAGAGGCACCAAGCAGCTCTCCAGCAGTCTGATGCAGTTTACCAGCTCTGAATGAAGGATCTACTCATGAAACCTACTCCAGTACTGGGCATATTAAAAGCTGAACACGCGCTAGAAGAACCACTTTCTAGCAGGAATTATAGTTCCCAAAGTAGGTCCTTTAGAAGCATCTTCTTAACTTAGAAATGTCGGCTCACTTTGCGAAATATACGACCCTGTTTCTATGTGCTAAATCTGAAAAGAAATTATACTCAAAAGCAGAGGAGAAAGTTATTCTACAATTCATGTGCAGCAACAGAAAAAAAGAATTAAAAATTTAAATTTAAATACATTAAAAAGTTAGTATATAGTTTTGGAAATTAAGATTACATTTCGTTTTATTATTAATTCATCACTTCTAGTTTTCATAACACACAAAGAATGTATATTACTTTTATGAGAGTAATTACTAATAATAAATGTAGATTACAAATGTGTCCCTCACAGGTTTAGAAACATCAAGGGAGTATTACGCTCACAGTCGATATTTCTGATTTGGGTTGCAACCAAACAGAAAAGCAAGTAGCTTTCAAAATTACCACCACAAAGCAGACATCTCAGTTGAGTGTCAGGGCGCTCACACAGTTATAGTTATATAAGGAATGCCTCAAAGCTCAGGGATTTCAGGAGCAGAATGGGTTGATCCTGTTATTTTAGTCTAGTTCTTGCTCAGGAATGAAATTCCTATATAAAATCTCTGCATCCTAAAACTAAGTGATATTTTTGACTTCTGATCTGAGTACACAGAATGGCCATCATTTGAGGTAGTTCTAGTAGTTACTAGCAAAATACTTTCTGGTAGAAAGTATGGGGAAAATATGAGTATTTTTGCTATGAGATCTATTAGGAAACTCTTTTCTAAAAGGCAGAACATATAGAGTAGTTGGGTTCTGTGATTTGATGAGATTGGCCTTTAGTTGGATCTTGAAGCTAATTCTCCCTTAGTGTGAGGCACCTGGTTCTCCTGCTTTGAGGATCAACATCACACAGTCTCCATGTTAAAGAAGCAACAGTAAAAAAGACTATTTAAGGCAGAACTCAGGTTTGCTTTTTGGATAGTCATATATACTTCCCCCATTCCATTCAGTCTAGGAGAGACGTTTTTTAGTAAGGGATAACTAATTCTGAATATCATATTCCTCTCTTCTTGAATCCAACACTTATCAGTTCTGGATAAGTGAACCAGTCAAAATGAGCAGAGTCTCCCAGGCAAAGCCGAGCTAAGCCCAACTGAAACTTGGAAGGATCAGCTACACCTCACCATACATGGCTCTGGGTCATAAAAGTAACTAGGGTCAAAGGAGATGGTGATTAATTTCACACAGTGCCAGTCTACCATAGCCTGATACCTGTTCCTAGTGAATAAAGCCAACCTTACTCCATTATCTAGGAGAAATGTGCTCAGGGTTGACAAATTAGAAAGAAAATGGTGCTGGAAGAAGCAAGAGAGTCAATGGAGTGGAGAAATGCCAAGGAAACATTCTCAAGGTCCGTCACCAATCCCAGTGTGGGCAGACACTCAGTTTCAACATGCACTCCACTCATTCTCTGACTTGGAGATAAAACAAATCACCCCTGGTGGGAAGTTATGAAGCCACCCTGACTGACCACAAAGGTGCCCGAATAGACAGGCAGGCTCGCCATTCTTACTCTTGTTTCTGAGGGGAAGATTCAAAGTCTAGCTTTACAGAGAGCCGTGCAGTTAGGGAACACTAAGTTTGGGCCAACTCTCTTTAGGTAAAAATTACATGTTTTAATTCATTTAACATATTACTCCCATGTCCTTTTCATGGCCATCATCCACATTTTCACAAATGATGATGTTTGAAACACTGCTCTGCCATTTCCAGGTTGTTTGACCCAGCCAACATGATATGAAGTACAGAGGCAGCCACCTCCTTTGAACCAGCCTGTGTTTCTAACTCCCCAAAAAATTAAGTGCTAAAATGGTGTGGGGGGTTGAAAAAGGTTCTCTCTGTGTAGCCTTGGCTGTCCTAGACTCACTTTGTAGACTAGGCTGGCCTTGAACTCAGAGATCTGCCTGTGTCTGCCACCCACAGTGCTGGGATTACAGGTGTGAGCCACTGTGCCTGGCTTTGTTTTTTGTTTGTTTGTTTTTGTTTTTAAGGCTCTGAGTTTATATAGCAATTGGTAACTGAAATGATGCCTGGTAGTTTTCTGCTAACTTTTTATTTCCCGTTTCACTAAATGCCAGAGAGGAAGCTTCCTCTATGTGCCTTCCTTTGTTTTCTCTCCTTACCTTTCAAGTCTTCTAAGCTCTTCCTGCAAGAGGCTATGGAGTCCCAGCTTTTCCAGAATGAGTTCACACTGCCTCCAGTACTGTGCCTGTGGGCTTTCAGGGAAGGAAGTGTGAAGAGCATTCACACCTCCTAGCAGTGCACCTCCCTGAGGAGCAAGAAAACAGCAGGACAGTCACAGATCAACTTGTACATGAGTAAGAACACACAGGGACCACTCGTCCCTGCTGGGGAAGACTAGCTCTCTACAACCTCAACTTGGCTATCACAATCCAAGTACCTTTACAAATTTCTATACCCTTTGCTACAGTGGGTGATCACTGTGCCAGGAAGCCACCTGTCACTATTGAACACATGAACTCCCCTAGGCTTTCTGAGAAGGAAAAATACTGAGACCTGCTTCTTCCCATGTATAGGCAAAGGCAATGGCAAGGGCAGAGTGACAGTCTCCATGCACAACAGCTCCCTTCTTTTAAACGACTGCTTTTGGCTCTTTCCAGGATGTACAAGGTACAGAATTTGATCATTTTACAGGTTAAAAGCATGCCATTTTAAAAAGAGCTTGTAATTAGGGTGAACATTAGGAACAAAATTACCTGCATCGAGGACTCCATCACTGACACCACTGTAATAGCATCTTCTAGAGTCACGGTATTTCGAAACATCAGGCGAGCATGAGCTAAGATAGCAAGACACTCAGGATTACCCGAGGTGATAAAAGTAATCCTTTGACTTCTCCACCCTCTAAACTTGCATTTTATAGATGAGCTAAATTAATCATCAGTTAATTGTACTAGGACAGGCAACTACTTTCAAAGTAGTTTCTCCAATAAGAGGCCTAACCCTTCATAATCCACATAATTTTGTGTATTTATATGAGAAAATTCTAGAGTCTAGCAAAAAAAAATGACACTGTATAAACATCCATTTAATATTCATAAACCTTTATTCTCCATTTTTTACTCTCATATAAATACATGAAATTAAAACTCATTTCTCATCCCTGATACCTCTTTTATCTATGATTTACGAGGTTTTTAAGGCACCAATCTAGCAAGCAAGAATTTTTATATATTTCTTGCCAGACTATTAGGTATAAATCCTTGAATAAAATGAGGTTCATTTGTTTTAAGGCATTTTTATTAGGGCTACAGGATTTCATGATATGATACATTCATGTGAACGTTAATAATCTGAACACGGGTAAAATATAAGTGCTCCCCAGACCTTTAACAGAGCTTGCAGAGCCTGTCCTCCTACTTTACCCCCTTGCTGTGATTCAGCTTTCCTCCCTCACCCCACCCTTACTGTCACCTGCCTATTACAGATAGCAACACTCTCTACCTGGGAACCAGTGGCCACACTGGGCTGGGATTCAGGTAGGCAATTTTCATTCTCTCTCCCTGTTCTCCATTACAACCTCTCTAGTCTTACCCCTGGCCCATGCTGCAGAATGCTTGTAGAGACCTATCCTCACACGTTCCTGAAGTCTCAAATCCTAGCCCACCTTTATTACTCTCTGCCACCCACCTGCACAAGTTCCCCCTATTAATCAACCCACAGACAACACACTTTCCTAAGATGCAGAGAGGCCAACAGAAAACAAGGAAAAGAACACCCACTCCATAAAGATAAGATCAGGTATCAACAGCTAGAATCACAATCATGCCAGTCCAGGATGCCTAGACATCAGCACAAAACCACAATTAACAACAACCAAGATAATATGCCTCTACCAGAACCAAGTAATCTTATGACAGTAGGTCATGAGAAATGTAAGATAGCTGAAGCACAAGATAAGACCTCTAACCACACCTCAAACACAAAATAATCAGGGTAGTAAAGGATACTACATACTCAAAGGACAAATCCACCAAGAGAATATTGGATACCTAAATATTTATGCAACAAAGATAAGAGCATTCAAGTTTATAAAAGAAACACTATTGTAGCTAAAAGATCATATATTGATCCTTACACACTGATACTGGGTGACTTCAATAGCACAGGCAATAAGATCCAAGAATTAATAAATGGGACCTCATGAAACTACAAAGCTTCTGCATGGCAAAGGACACCAGCATTTAGACAAAGTGGCAGGCCACACAATAAGAAAATATCTTTACCAATTACATATCTAATAGATGGATAACAGCTCAGATATAAAAAGAACAACAAGAAAAAACTAGACAGGAAGAAATAATCAAATTAAAAATAGGTACATAAGCTGGGTGTAGTGGCACTTGCCATTAATCTCAGCACTTGGGGGGCAGAGGCAGGCAGATTTCTGAGTTTGATGGCAGCCTGGTCTACAGAGTAAGTTCCAGGACAGCCAAGGCTACACAAAGAAACCCTGTCTTTAAAAATGAATAAATGAATGAATGAATACTAGAAAAACCTTAAGGGGGGGCTGCTGGAGAGATGGCTCAGTGATTAAGGCTACCCTTCCAGAGGACCCAGGTTCAATTCCCAGCATCCACATGGCAGCTACAACTCTCCATAATTCCAATTCCAGGAGATCTGACAGCCTCACAGCAATCTTCATAAAATAAACTTAAATAAATTATTTAAAAAATGGGTATAGAACAACAGACAGTAGTCAAAAGATGAAACACAAAGGCTGAGAAACATTCGGACACTTGCTCATCCATTTCACTGCTGCTCTAATCACAATAGCCAGAAACTGGAAATAGCCGAGGTGTCCACGAACAGAAGAATGGATAATGAAAACTTATATAATATACTACTACTCTGTTTTTTTTTTTTAAAGTAATAATGAAATTCACAGGTAAATAGATGGATCTAAAAGAAAAAATCATTCTGAGTGAGTTAACCCAGACCCAAAAAGACAAATATGGTATGTATTCACTTATATGTAGATGTTAGCTTTTAAGCCTTCAATAGGCATGCTATAATTGGTGTAGCCACAAAGTTTAGGTAGGAGGAAGGGAAGCATCTTCCAAGGAATAAGAAATAGAATATATAGTAATGGGTGGACAGGACAGGGAATTGAGAATTGAATGGAGAAAGAGAAAGGAAGAGAGAGTAAGGGAGGAAATATGGGATTCAGGAAGGGACAACTAAAACTAAGAACCATTTGTGGGTCAAATGGAAACTTATTACAACAGAAGTTTCTTAAAATTTATATGTATATGAAAGAAATCTAAGTGGAATCACCAAATAACAGGGGAGACAAAGCTCTGACAAGAATTTTCTCACTCTCAAATGAAACCTCCAGTGCCACAAATGGTTACATTTAATTAAGCTGTTGGTCAAGACATCCTATGGAAACCCCTCAGACAACTCAGGCTATTATCAAGGCTGTTGGTTACTCTTCACAAACTGATGATAAGGCCCTTTTGCTGAAGACAACACCTAGCTACTCACTGAACATGGAGAAGTCCAACTTGTGCCTAACAAAAGCCTTTACCCCAAATGACTGGTATTTATGGTACTGGATGCTACTCTGCATGTTACCCAGAGGAGAAAACTAAACACCAAGCCATCAACACAAACCCTTTACTCTACAAAGTGAGCGATTGTGTAATATTCTGGTGCAACAGTGGTACAAAAGTTGTGGGAGTAACCAAACAGTATCTGATTGAATTTAAGGTCCACTCCATAAGATAAAACTCAGACCTGATACTGGTTGGGTTACTAGATAGGCAATATACCTAAGGGAAAAACAAATATTACTGTTCTCCTATTATATGTAGCAAGATAATGAATCCTAATGAAATTCTGCTATACTTACAGATCACTGACTTGCTCAGCAATCATCGGAAAAGCTTCCACTGCAGTAGATGGGAAAAATAGAGAGAACAACTGAACAATATGTTCTATTACCTTGGAACACACAATACTAAATGGGATGTTTTCATCAAACGCCTCCCTTCAGGGCTCAGGGAAGAGGGAAGAGGAGACACAAAGATTATAAAGAACAGGTGGGGATGGAAACCACCAAGGAAACACACTGTTTTAGATATAATAGGAGGACTGACACACATATGACCTCATAGAGACTGTGACAGCCTGTACAGGGACTGCACAGGTCCAAGCCACATGGGGTCCCACTTATGAGAGATGAAATGGACACAAGCTACTATACCTAACACAGAAGTTATCTCCAATTGACAATCACTAAAAAAAAGGAAGATTTAATCTTCTCCAATGGAGTCTTATCCGGTATAAAACACAACCAAGACTGGCCCATGCCACAGTGAATAGCTGAAACAACACAAACTCAATGGTATGTTTGAAGATGTTTTGTCTCATATACATGGGCATTTTTTACCTTAATGTTCTATTGTTTATATATTATGGTTTCTGCTTATGTGTTTTTATAGATTTTGTTTGAGCGTGTCTGCATAAGTTTCTCTGTGCATATATGTTTTAATGCTTTTTTCTTTTTTGTTGTTTTTATTCTTGCTTGGTTGCTTATTTGTTTTCTAACAAGGGAAAGAGAGAAAGAAGGCATGGATTTGGAAGGGTGCAGAGAAGGGAAGGATCTGGGAGGAGATGAGGGAGAAGAAACTAAGATCAGAATATAATATGGAAAAATTTATTTTCTATTGAAAAAAAGAAGAATAGCCATGGATCACAAATGGCAATTACTAGCTAAGAACCAGAAACACTATACAGGAAACACTTCCAAACAAACAAGAAGCTATAGTATTAAAAATGCTGGAAGAGCTGCTTCTGAGAAATAGCAGCTCAAAGAAGGCTTTCGAAATGAATGATAGCTTATGTTGTGGGAGGTCCAGAAATAGCACAAAGACTCACTCCATAATCACTGTCTAGCTCAGAAACACGGGGTCTGCAGGCTTAGGGCCTTTACATTTAGTTTATAAAAATTTAAAATATTATTTAAAATGTGTGTGTGTGTGTGTGTGTGTGTGTGTACTTATGTATACTGTGTGTACCCACAGAGGCCAGCAGGGGGCATTGGATCCTCAAGAGCTGGAGTTACTTTGACATGGGTGCTGAGAACCAAGCTTGGTTGTGGAGTGAGTCCTCCTACCTGCTGAGCCATCTCTATAGCTCTTATTTTTAATTTTTATAATTACATTTATTTGTGTGTGTGTGTGTGTGTGTGTGTGTGTGTGTGTGTGTAGGTCAGAGGACAACTTGTATGTGTGGGATCAATCTCCCCTCTACCATATGGGACCAAGGAATTGAATTCAAGTCATTAGGCATGGGGCAAGAACCTTTATCAGCTAAGCTATCCCATGTCCTAACACCTTTTCAGTCTTTACTTCTTAAGTGAACACGTGTACCTTAGAGTGGGTATTACTCTTATCATTGGATGCATGGTGCCTGTCCTGAACAAACTAGGCACTCAATAAAAATATAATTTGTAAAATGAAATGAACCTTCTGCTAATCGAATCAAGCTTTCCAACAGGCGGATGGTTGTCCGAGCTGCATTCCGTGAATCACTCTGCCTTTGCATTTGATAGTATCGGAGGAGTACTTGATTGCTCACGTCAGACAGTGTGGGCTGGAGATTTCTAATGAGGCAGAAGTAGGTTTTCATCTTTTCCATGCTCCACAGGTTCTCTGATTTGCTTGGATAACCTGTATACATCAGACATGGGATCAGTAAACTAAAAGGAATTAGAAAATATCCTATTTTTGAGGAATTTGAGAACATTGCTATACATGCTTTAATTATCTGTCTGTCTGTCTGTCTGTCTGTCTATCTACCTATCTATCGTTTTTTTATATAGACTCTTTCTACACAAATATCCCTGGGTGCTCTAAAACTCACTATATAGACCAGGATGGCCTAGAACTCACAGAGATTCTGCCTGCCTTTCAAGTGCTGGGATTAAAGGTGTATACCACCACCCTGGCTCCTATATACACTTTTAAAAGGTAAGCTTCAGCTTTTATGTCCACTGAAATCTAGATCTATTCTTATAGCATGCAGTTCCATAATAAGCTGTCTTATATGATTAATAAATAGAAGCTTCCCCCAGAGTAGAAATCATTAAGAATAATTTTGGTCTCACTCATAGTAATAAGGACTTGAAGTAGTCTAATTAAAAAACAAAACAAACAAAAAAACAAAACAAAACAAAACACCTAACATTTATGGAGTTCTATTTTATAATGCACTCAAGTTTTTTCGGTGCACAAGAGTAGTGATTTTATATTCTGTCTCTTGTCAGAAAGGATAGGTATGTACACACACAAACACACACACACACACACACACACACACACACACACACACAAACATATGTATACATATGTCAACTATACCCTCATGGTAGAGGTAGAGAAAAAAGCCAGTTTCCCTCCTGTTCATTATTCTGGAGTTACTAACTGGCTTCTCAGTTGCCTTCTGTCTAAGCATCTATTATCTGTCAACACAGACATCTTCAGTATTTAATTCAAGGGACATGTCCTTTGTTTAGGTCTACTCTTTTCTTGTCTCAGTGAGTGATTTGTTTATCTTCACCTACCTTTATTTTCTAAGATAAAGGAGGAAATTATACGATCCCAGTCTTCATTTCTAGTGTCGAGCAAAACCAGGATGAGGTCAAATCGACTTAAGAGTGGGCTGCCGAGGGCAATGTTCACAGACACAGACTCCTGGGGGTCGTATTGGCCTTTGGGGTTAGTTGCTGCCAGAATGGTTGTCCTTGTGTTCAGCTTACAAACAAGCCTAAGATAAAGGGAAAAAGCCATTGACTGAGATTCAAATGAGAGGCAGAAATAACACTTGTTAATCAAATGGGGCTGTACTTGTACCTTGAAAATCTAGAGAAACTTCTGCAAAAAATATGGAGAGCTAGGAGAAGATACCACAAATGCCAAGTTCAAACAAAACAAAACTGGAATGAGTATCTTGAAAAAAATTGTTCAATAAACACTATCTATCCTCAGATGATGACCAGAGCTCTCTATGCTAAGTACTAAAGAGTGTACACAATTAAACTAGTATGGGTAAGATGCTTAAGGAATTTGCACTCTACTCCCTATAATCTAATTCCAGGCAGCATACAGGGAATTCTCTATGATTAAAGTTACAGGGAAAATAAGGCAACATGTATTTGCCTATCTACATGAAGCAACTTTTGACATAGACCCTTCAAGTCATCTAGACATTATTAACTGGAAAGCTATACATGCCGTGAAGGATTGGAGGATGATACTGGGAAATGACTGAAGCAGAAACTTCCTATGTATTTGCTAATTTTGTTTTGATTTTTCATCTATCTATCTATCTAGTATCTATATGTATGCTATCTATCTAGCATCTGTCATCAATTCATCTACCTATAAATCTGTATTAGTCAGGGTTCTCTACAGGAATATAACTGATAGGATGAGTATATTTAAAAGGAGGTTTATTTACGTGGCTTATAGGTTTTGGTTCTTTTCGTCTAACAATGGCGATCTACCAAAGGAAAGTCCAAGAATCTAGTAGTTGGTCAGTCCATAAGGCAGGATGTGTCAGCTGCTCTTTAGTATACATCAGAATCTCAAAGAAGTAGGCTCTAGTGCCAGCGAAGAAATGGACTTGCCAACCAGAGTGAGAGCAAGCAGGCAAAGACCTAAGAGCTTCCTTCTTCCACGTCCTTTATGTAGGCTGCCACCAGAATGTGTGGCCCAGAATACAGGTGGCTCCTCCCACCTCAAAATATCTAGATTAAAAGTAGATCTTTCCACTTTACATGGTTTAATTAAGAAAAATCCTCACAGGTGTACATAAACACTTGGCTTTTAACTAATCCCAGATGTAGTGAAGTTGCCACCAAGAATAGCACCACTCCCCTATGCTTCTGCCCCTGCCAGCCAGCCACTTTGAACTTACTATGCGACCCGCATCAGCTTCAAATTCAAACTCAGGATCTTCCGGCTTTAGCTTCTCTAGTGTTAGGACTATAGACACAAACTACCTTCCCTGACTTTGTTTTGATTATCCTAGATACGGAAGAAAAAGTGTGAAGAAGGAAAAGGAACTCAGGAAGTCTAGAATCAGTTTAACATGCAGTTGTAAGGAACAATTATAAAATAGGACTTGGAAGACTGGACAAGAAGGGGCCACACTGAGGTGGGTAGGATGTTAGCATAATGAATGGTAAAAGGGACACAAAGTCCTAAGCAAGGCAGTGGAGGGACAGGAATGGATGTGGCTTAATTTAGATATCACTTTAAAACTAATTAATCCTCAAAAATGTGCCACATTTATTCACAGTAGACGTGTAACATTTTCATCTGTGTGTGCTCTGTACTTGACAGCCATTTTTAGAGTAGATACCTGCCCTCAGAAGTCACAGTCCTGTGACATCAGCAAATATGTGCTACACTTATTCATCTCCACTCTATTTCCAGGTGTCTCTAGCAATTACTTCATTCCCTGAGGCTGAAAACGTTTGAAATATTTTTTACTTGTGGCAAATGGTGTTAAAAGCCACTCACTGAATAAGACAAAGACAGACAAGTCACTTTTATAAAAATCTCATCCCCCGACTCTCATTCTGACCAGCAGCACAGCAGGATCAGCACAGTGACCAGCAATCAAAACTCGCGGCCATAAAACACAAGTGATTGTGTTTCTGAGGTAAGAGGATACCCCACGGTGGGGGATTCAATCAGCTTTTAACTCACCCAGCTAAACCGAGGAAGAGATCACCGCTCCACCAGACGCTTGGCCGCCAGCCCCAGCCCAGAGCCACACGCCAGTGTCTCTGGTCACGGTCCCAAACTGAACCGTGCGCACCACACTATCAGAGACTGGAATTTTCAGTCGAGAGATAATCCTACTGTGCAGGAAACGATTGGGACTGACCTTAGGTCACCCAGACATCCCCTGGAAAAGACTCGGGTTCCTCAGGTGCCCCAGGAGCCAGCCCAGAGCCAGAGCCAGGGACCCAGGCTCCGGCACAGAGCACTGCCTGCGCGCCTGATTCGCTGCCTCAGAGAGAACTGTGGGCACCAGGGCACCAGAGACTGAGTTTCACTGTCCGGTGCAAACCCACAGGGAGGGAAACAGCTGGTCTGATCTCAGAGCACTCAGCTGACACCCCCACCCTGAAAAGGTCTCGGAAAAATTATCCAGTTTAGGTAGACGCCCAGGCTCCCAAAGGCCGGAAAGGCAGACACAGGTAGTTTCTGGGCGCCAGCTAGCTGGTGGAGACTGAGCGGTGCACCCCAGGGCAAAAAAAGAGACTGAGAGTCCCTGTCTCCAGGGAATCCACAGGGAAGGAAGGAAACTGTACTGACTTAAATCACCCAGTCCTTCCCTGGAAAAAGTCTTGCAGACCGGTGGGGCCGAGCCGCCATCACTCAGCTGTGCTCCAGACACAGGCACAAACAGTTGCTGGGCGCCAGATGTCCAACTGTGTCATAGCAGCTGATCATTAAATTTACAGCAAGAAACCCAGAAACAGGGCAGCTATCTTCAGGACTTCCCTGGGTGAGAGGAGAACCCTCTCGACTAACAAAGACCACAGTTACCACTCAGGTCTCTATCCCTGAGGTGAGCAGCAGCAACTCCTGAAAAAACGCCTGCCATCCAGGGACTATACAAAAGCTGAGGAGACTTCCTTCAAGAAAAACCAGCTTTCTGCCAAGGGGATTCTCTGCACCACAGGATCCCCAGGAACCACCAGAAAATAACCCCAAACACCTAAGATAGCCCAATGGGTAGAGGACAGCATAAAAGCTCAAGCAACAAAAGACAGAGCAATATGGCGTCTCCAGAACCCAGTTACCCAGGGGCAAGTAGCCCTGGACACCCCGGCATAACTGAAATCCAAGAAGATGACCTAACAACTATGCTCATGAAGATGATAATAGAGGAAACAGATAAGATACATAAAGACATAGAGGAAGATAAACTCAAACAGAATATTGCCATCCGTAAAGAAATAGAGGAAGTTGCAGCCAAACAGTTTGTGGCCTTTAGAAAGGAAATGCTTAAAGCACTAAATGAAATAAAAGAAACAGAGGTTGGTTCAAACAAACAGCTGAAAGAAGTGATGGAAAAACAGGAGAATACAGTCAGACAGGTGAAGGAAATCAACAAAATGGCTCAAGATCTGAAGATAGAATTGGAAAAATTAAAGAAAACACAAATGGAGGAAATTGCAGAGAAAGAACTTAGGGAAGAAAACAGGAACTACAGAGGTTAGCATAACCAATAGACTACAAGAGATAGAAGAAAGAATCTCAGGTGTGGAAGATACAATGGAAGAAATCAATGTATCTGTCAAAGAAAATGTTAAATCCAAAAAATTCTTTATACAGATCGTCCAAGAAATCCAAGACAATATGAAAAGACAAAACCTAAAGGGTTGGAAGATAACTTTCCAAGCAAATGGACCCAAGAAGCAAGCAGGAGTAGCCATTCTAATATCTGATAAAATAGACTTTCAAACAAAATTAATAAAAAGAGATGGGGAAGGACACTTCATACTCATCAAAGAAAAATTCCAACAGGAAGACATCACAATCCTGAACATCTATGCCCCAAATACAATAGGGGCACATTTGTTAAAGAAACATTGAGAAAATTTAAACCACATATAGATCCACACATTAATAGTGGGAGACTTCAACACCCCACTCTTAACAAAGGACAGGTCAACAAAACAGAAATTAAACAAAGAAACAATGTCTCTAACAGAGGTCATGAATCAATTGGACCTAACAGACATTTACAGAACTTTACACCCAAACACAAAAGAATTTACCTTCTTCTCAGCACCTCATGGAACCTTCTCCAAAATAGACCATACAGTTGGTCACAAAGCAAGCCTCAACAGATACAAGAATATTGAAATAATCCCTTGTATCTTGTCTGATCACCATGAAATAAAGCTGGACCTCAACAACAATAGAAATAGCAAAAAGCCTACACACTCATGGAAACTGAACAACTTGTTACTCAATGACAGCTGGGTCAGGGAAGAAATAAAGAAAGAAATTAAAGTCTTCCTAGAACTCAATGAAAATGAAGACACAACATACCCAAACTTGTGGGACACAATGAAAGCAGTGCTAAGAGGAAAGTTCATAGCACTAAGTGCCTTCAAGAAGAAATTCGAGACAGCTCATTCAAGCAACTTAATGGATCACTTAAAAACCCTAGAAAAAGAAGAAGTAGACACACCAAAAAGGAGTAGATGGCTGGAAATAATCAAACTCAGGGCTGAAATCAATCAATTAGAAACAAATAAAACAATTCAAAGAATAAATGAAACCAAGAGCTGGTTCTTTGAGAAAATCAACAAGATCGACAAACCCTTAGCCAAGCTAACTAAAAGGCAGAGAGACACCACCCAAATCAACAAAATCAGAAATGAAAAGGGGTACATAACTAACAGACACTGAGGAAATCCAAACAATCATTAGGACTTACTTCAAAAGTCTATATGCCACAATATTTGAAAATCTAAATGAAATGGACAGTTTTCTTGATCGATTTGACTTACTAAAGCTGAATCAGGACCAGGTAAATCAACTAAATAGTTCTATATCCCCCAAAGAAATAGAAGCGGTCATCAAAAGTCTCCCATCCAAAAAAAGCCCAGGACCAGATGGCTTCAGCGCAGAATTCTACCAGACTATCAGTGGACGTGGGGAGGAGCATGCATGAAGAAAGGGGAGGTAGGGTGGGATCAGGAGGGGAGGAGGGAGGGGCTTATGGGGGGATAC